TTAATGTTTATTTATTTTGGGGGGGGAGGAAAGAGAGGGAGACACAGAATCCGAAGCAGGATCCAGGGTCCGAGCTGTCAGTGCAGAGCTTGACTCAGGGCTTGAACCCATGAATCATGAGATCATGACCTGAGCTGAAGTCAGATGCTTAATCAACTGAGCCACCCAGGCACCCCGAGCGTCGACTCTTGATTTCGGCTAAGGTCATGATCTCATGGTTTGTGAGACTGAGCCCCGTGTTGGGCTTTGCACTGAGGGCGGAACTTTAAAAAAAAAAGGAAGAGAGGTTGTTCATAGTCAAGAAGTGGAAACAACCCGAATACCCATCAGGCGATGAACGGGTGACACATGTGGTCTATCCATACAATGGAATATTATGCAGCCCTAAAAAGGAACAAAGCCCTGATTCGTGGTACAACATGGATGATCCTTGAAAGCATGATGCTCAGGGAAAGGAGCCAGCCATGGAAGGCTGCATATCGTAGGTTCCCATTTATAGGAAGTGCCCACAGAGGCAGACAGCAGAGGAGGGAGCTACAGGGGTGGGGTGGGGGGTGGAGGTGACTGCTAATGGCACCAGCTTCTTTTCAGGGTGATGGGAACGTTCTGGAATCCCACAGCGTGATGGTTACACAGCTTTGCGAAGGCACTCAACACCACCGAGTCATACACCTTTAAAAGGGTGAATTTTACGGTGTGTGAAATATATCTTTTTTGAAAAAGAAGGGAGATATGTGTGGGGGGGGAGGTGGTGGTGGAAATAATCAAGTTAAGACGACGGGCTTCCCCCCACTGGCTTTGTGATGCTGGGAACAACAGTGACAGATACAAGTACGTCTGCCACCGTGGACGTCAGCCAAGTGCCCAGCCTTCAGTGGCATCCGCCTCCCCCACTCCCACCACGGACGGGGTCTCCGCTCGGCTCTGGTCCTGCCTTTTGTGGCCTTCCTCCGTCCCCGGGAGCCCCTCCACCTGCTCCCTTCCCCTGCAGGGGCTTGGGTACTGGATCTGACCCTTCCTGGTCGGCCAGCCTCGGGTCATTCCCTGCGGGTTGGGGACCTAAGGTGTTTGAATGCCAGCTCCGCCCCCTGCCATGTGCTGTGAGCCTCAGTTTAAGAAGCATCCAACAGAGGGGGAGGGGCCCCCTTACCTTAGCCTGCTGAGTCCCAGGAGCCTCGGTGTGGCGGTGTAGTCGGGAGGCCGCGTGGCCCAGCCTGCTCGGGGCCAGCAGGGGTGGTCTCTCAGGGCTCCACCGCCTACGTTATGTGTGCACAGGTGCCCACGAGGGCCTGTTGCCGGCTGGTGCTCTGCTCCCCGAGGGCACCTGGGGGGCCCTTGTGCAGGGAGGGAGGCGGGCACCTCCGAGACGCCGGTGGGGCAGTGACTGTGCTCGGCCACTAGAGGCCAGTGCAGCCTGAGGGGGCCCAGGTGGGCCTGCCCAGGCCCTGCTCCAAGGGCTTGAGGACCAGGGCGGGACAGGGGCCCCTTGCTGCCTTCAACCCTGGGCTCCCCAGAGATGCCGTGGTAGCTCAGGACACAAGACCTGTGGCCACAAGCCCCAGTCCAAGGGCCTGGGGGCCTGAGAGAAACCACAGCATTTCTATTTAGAAGATTCTGGTAACTTCCAACCAGGAAAACAATTTTATTTTTTGTCACGAACGATACGGGGTCATTCAGGAAAGCCCTAGTACACGAAACATTCTAGACTAGGTTTGAGGTCCCATCTTTGTTCCGAGTTTGGACTTTCTCGGGATTTCCCACCAGTCAAACCCCACCCAAGGCGAGGGGCCCCGGGGAGCGAAGAGGGGCTTGATGAACTCTGTTTGCAAGAGCTTGTTCCCTCTGAACTCCCCCCACCCCAAATAACAAGCCCCAGCCCAGACTTGCTTTCTGGCTTTCACCACTGGGGTGTTTCTTTTTGCCTCCTCCCCATTTAAAGATCGGCTCAGGGATTTACTGTGTGAGGAACAGAGTCCAGAATTCATGTGGGTTCTGATTCGAGCCCCCAGCAAAAAATGTTTTAAGATGCTTTCCAGAACATGTGCAATGCTAGGGATCCACAGCTCTGCCTTAAAATTTTTGTTTTTCTTTTTTTTTTTTTAATTTTTTTTAATGTTTTATTTACTTTTGAGACAGGGAGAGACAGAGCATAAACAGGGGAGGGTCAGAGAGAGGGAGACACAGAATCTGAAACAGTTTCCAGGCTCTGAGCTGTCAGCACAGAGCCCAACGCGGGGCTCGAACTCACGGACCGCAAGATCGTGACCTGAGCGATGTCGGACACTTAACTGACTGAGCCACCCAGGCGTCCCTGTTTTTCTTTTTAAAGCACTCGCTTCACGTGAAACACGTCAGGGGCGTGTGCAAAATATAAACATCAGTTAGGAGTCACTGAGCCCCTGACCCCAGGAGTGGCAGCCGCTCCAGGCACATAAACCAATAGACAAGTGGCCTCTCCGGACACGGGCACCACTGCTAACCTCCAAGCTCCTCCCACTCTGATGTGACCCCGCCCCCACCCCCAGGAGGGGCCCCAGAGTCAGTGAGTGGATGCTCATCCTCAGACACGGTGGGGACCTGCAGGGAGGGACTCCCGCTTGGAGCCACCCCCAGGGGGAAGGGCAGGTGGGCGGGGCTCAGCCCCTCAGGTACAGCCACCAGAGGACAGGCCAGCCCCCAGGCTTATGCCTTTGCCCCCTGACCTCAGTTCCCTTTCGGTGAACACACTGAGAGTGGACTGGATCAGGGGCGAGCACAGACCCCCTGGGAAATTGCATGAAAGTTACAGCCCCTGCCTCTGCATGAGCAGGGACATGGGCATGCGCCCCTTAGTGCACAATTTCAGCCAGGACCACTGAGGAAGTGATAAAACAACCATGACCTGGTGCTCAGTGACGATGACAGGGTAGCAGGAAAAGTTAGCCCTAGTAGACCTGCCCCAGAGCCAGGCCTGTGCCAGCCTCTTTATGCAGTCTTTTTTTTAAGTTTATGTATTTTTGAGACAGAGAGAGACAGAGCATGAACGGGGGAGGGTCAGAGAGAGAGGAAGACACAGAATCTGAAACAGGCTCCAGGCTCTGAGCTGTCAGCACAGAGCCTGACGCGGGGCTCGAACTCACGGACCACGAGATCATGACCCGAACCGAAGTCCCATGCTTAACTGGCTGAGCCACCCAGGCAG